TATATGATAGATTTATGTATGTGTAGAAGAGTATAGATATAAATATAGATATTGATATAAGTATAGACAGGTCATGTTAGACTCACCGCTCACGTACAGAGTATGTGTGTGTGTGTGTGTGAGTTTTTTGTGCTCTCTTAATCCCTGGCAAACAATGCAGACCAGAAAGGAGCAGCAGGAGTAGCTGTAGGTGTAGGTGAAGGAGCTGAAGCTGGTGCTGAAGCTGAATCTAAAGCTGGAAGCCTTGTCAGCAGCATAACTGGATAACTGTCGAATGAATTGATATTGTTTACTTTTAATTAAAAACAATTTGCTTCGCTGGCTTTCTTGGCCACAGCAGCTGAACAACTCGCCAGCCGCCGAATACCCATTGATGCTCATGATGATGATGCTGCTGATAATAATGTTGTTTGTTGTTGCTGCAGCTCATGATGATGATGATGATGATGATGATGGGGAGTCGCATTTCAACTTTTCAGCACTCAACTCTCAGACTGACTTGACTTCGCCCAAGTGTGTGCTCTATGGCTATTCTCTAGACAAACCTTGCTGCCTGTTCAGACAACCTCTTGATGGACATGGCACTGGATAAAAGAAGAGAAAGAACCAGCAAGAGGAAGAGAAAATAACCCATCAGTGAACTGTCCTGCACGAGGTCTGCTGGCCTGTCCTTAGCTTTTGTGTTTGCCGTTGCGTTTGCTGTTGCTCCTGATGCAGTTCATCGATGCGCAGTTCTCGTTTTTGGGGTAATGAAAATCAAACTGTCCATGAAGCAGTCGAGTTAACATTATACAGTTACTTGCTGCTGCTGCTGTTGTTGTTGTTGTTGTTTCTGCTGCTGCTCATATTACGTGCAAGTCACTAGGATTTCAGATAAAGCCAAAGACTTACCGCTATTTAAGCTGTAAAAAGGTCAGGTGAGCTACGTGCTCAGCGCCCAAAAGTGTTTTGTGGATGATAGAATATCAAGCAAAGCTAAAATTGATAGATATTGATAATAATTAGATAGATAGATAGATAGGTAAACGACGATACACTATACACAAATTACAAATAGAAACTTAATTTATGAAGAAGTAGTAGCTAAGCCCTTGCTATCGATAACAATCGATATATCGATTGGTTGACAGATGAGACACTATAGTCAAATTACAAATACTTATACTTCATTTATCAAATGAATAATACCTTAATTACCTAAGCACCTTTAATCGATAACAATCCATATATCGATAAAATCAATAATTTTCATTTATATATGAAAGTCCATTAAATTTTGATTGATAAAGAAAAACTATAATCAAATTACAAATATATGAACTGCATATATAATTTAAAACTCTTGTTTAAGCTATCGATAACAATCGACATTTTGTCAACTTAATCAACTGCCTGCTGGCAGCGCCTGCAATGAAATTCCATTAAATTTTGATTATATCCCATCAATTTTTCAGTTGACTGCTGAGACAGTTAACAATGGAGCTCAGACAATCGGACATGAGCACACACGTGCGCTGACGCACAGCCACACACAGCCAAAGTATTTAAGCCGCTTAAAGTAATACGTTCCCGTTGCCACACAAAAGCAAAAACCAGCAGCTCGGGGTAAAGTATATTCGACAGAGAACGAGGCAGAACAGTAAATAAATAAATGAAACTAACTGGCATTAGCGACTCCTTAAGTACGTCTGGACACAACATTCGATAAGTTTAGCGGGGAAAGCCGCAAGCCAGACCCAAAGACAATCAAAAGAGCAGGTAATTGGCACAGTTTAATATAGACTTGGAGATGCCCTATACTAATTTGTATATAATATATGTAATCTATTTTTAAATGTCTTTTGTAAAAATTAATCGAATCGGGATCATTAGAAATACAGATAGATAATATATTGAAACAATGACTTGAAAATACCCTATACAAATTCATATATATCTTAGTTAAAGAGAAAGCTTTAAATATATTAAATACAAGTTCTTTTTAATTGGATCTTATAGATGTTCGATATGCATAAACGACTCTGATTTTTTTTTATAAAAAAAAAAATAATACAAAAAAAACAGTTTTATGGACACATTGAAACATAGACTTTGTGTATAATTAAACTTTAAATATATTTTCTATTTTATTTAATATTTTGTAAAATTTGTTTGTAAATTTGAAGTACTATTTCAAAGGTGTATATAAAGTATTTAAAAATGTCTTTCAAAGAAAACAATCCTATCGGGCTCTTCAGCAAACATTTACAGTTAGAGATTGCTGCACAATGCTCGCAACAGTTAGCCAAAAGCTTGAGCTTGTGCACCTGGCGAACGGTTTATATTTGCCGTGTGCTGCCGCAAAGCCGCTTTGGCCAATTATTATTGGCTGGGCGCAATTAAATCGCCGGCTTTGTGCTCAGTTTATGGGCGCAGTCGTGAGTCGTGACTGCTGGGTCGTGACTCGTGAGTCGAGGCCCAGGCTAGATATGCGCGCATTTAATTAATTTCGCAATGAATGCCAAACTTTACTTAGCCGTGGGCCTTATCTGGCCCAGAAAGCCAAAGAACTTTAAAAGGTGCCCACATCTGAGCAGGGGACGAGCTTAAAACTTTGCCGTGCAAAGTTAGGGCGCATAAATTTTGAGAACATGATTTTTTGTTTGTTTTTTTGGCGCACGGCTAAACACCTGGCTGGATGTCGCTCTGAAGTTGCCTGCCGAGGCCATTTAAAGGATTTTTGGCTATGGCGCGAGTTGAACTTTAATTAAATATCCTGCAAATACGCATAAATATCAGCGACAAATGACCCAAAGGCAGTGAAAGGCAACGGCTGTAGGAAGCTCGCTCGAGATACCAATTGAAATTTGTGGAAGATAACTTTAGGTTTCCTTAGTAAAATTTGCAGAAGAGTGTTCTCTATATAGATATACATAGGTGTTATTCCTAGGCTATGCAAAACCTTTGGCAAGTCTCAAATGAACAGCGATAAATTAATAGAGCCACAACACTCGGCTGGACTGCCCGACTAGAAGTTATCCTGCACCTTGTGTAGAGCTGCTGCTCTAGTCAGTCTATTGGGAAATGTGAATATGAATATAAAGAATAGCTAATAGTTTGCGCCCTAAGTGAAATATTTGTTGATACAGGGACCGTAACCATTACATCTCTTAAAGTAAAAAATAAAAAAATAAGAATTATTATATA